ACCTGGATATGTGCAGACTATACACACATCCTGTCTCATACTCTACTCAGCAGAAAATAATTCCCTAATAATAATAATATTATTATAACATTAATGTTACCATTTATGGTTGTCTATCAAACATGATGCACAGTGTAAAATTATTTCCTTTTACAAATAAGAAAATTAATAAGTAGAGAATTGAAATAATCAAAGATCAAACAACAGACATTATCAGAACTGAAATGCAGATTCCAGAGCTCTGTCCTATTTACCACAAGAGGTCTTATAAATTTGGTGCTAGTAGATGAACTACAAGGTTGAGAGGGAGCCTCTCATCTTCAACGACATAGAGGAGAATCAGGTTTACAGAAGGTGAAAGCAATGGCATTATTATCCCAATTATTCATAAATATGCTGAGGAAAGAATGGAAGAAATCTATTTCTTGGAGAAGTGATAGAATCTCTTTATCACTCCCGTGAGAGCCCAGCACCTAGGATGAGGAGCGCACAAGAGAGAAATGTACAAGAAATGCTTTTGGAGTCATTTTCTTAGAATATGAATAAACTTACATCCAGATACATTCAGCCTTCTGAGAAATTTTCCTGCCCATCAAATATTGGAGATTTAAAAAAAAAAAAAAAAAGAACAAGTCTTGGAGACTTGGCTCACCAGAAGCTGGCAGCTTCCAGGTTAAATCTGATCCGTGGCCTCACCATTGGCCCCCTGCTGCCTCTAGGCTGCAGCATCAAACACCTGTTCTGGGCTCTGCATTCCAGGGCTTTATTGTTTAACCATCCATGAGACCAGAATCAGATCTTGCTGTCATAATTTGCCAAGTGGGGATTCACCAGACCAGAATGAAGTTAACTAGGGCTGTGTTTCATTGCAAATATCTAAAGTTGGGAATTTTTTTTTTTTTAAGCAATAAAATCGTAAGACTGTGTCTGACTTGTACCACTAATGTTATTTGTAGATCCTTTCAGTGGGTTGTTAGAGTTTAAGTTAAAAGGTAGAATTTCAGTTCTAATTAATCGTGAAAAGATTCTCTTTGCTCCATGTAATTAAACAAAAAGTGAAGCCACAGTAAACATCATAACATGCTCGGCCCGGGGATCGAAAATTGTCCTTTTTTCAGGCTGATGTAAATAGGAAGAAGTGTTCTTTTATCACTGAAGAGCTTCTGGGCAAGGTTCATGAAAGTGCATTTGCAGTATTTATACAATGATTAACTTCTCACAAAGTTCTCGAGTAACAGGTGTAAATATTTTTTATTCTAATATGGAAGGACAAACATGGTTGACCTGCATTTCCTCTTCAGTTCCCTTTGGATGTGCATCATGAAAGTATCAGGGAGAGATGCCGAGTCTCTAGTTGTTACATGCACTGAAATGGGGATAATACCTGCAGCCAGTGAGTGAGAGATCAAACAATGAATCCACGTGAAGAAGCAGTGAGTGGTGTTTCTCAAGCTGCTTTGAAACTGCATCTCAATGCTGAGGCAAACCAATCAGTAGCCAGAGTTTGGTTCTTCAGGTACTGGTTTTGTTCACTGTCAGCGGTTTGCATGACTCCTTTATGCTCTGTGTAGAGGTCTCTAATCAGAGCCCAGATTTTCCTTAACCAGATTCACCAAAGCACTCTGCAGCCTGGTTTCATCTCCCTGGATGCCAGAAAGTCATGTAGCTTGATTTTCTACTTTCAAAATGAGGACTTGGCTTGCCCCTGGAAATGGAGAGAGCAATTCTCCCCCCTGCTGCTGAGATCTTTATTAAAGCAGATGTTGAAGGATGAAATGTCATAATAGAGAAGCAACTTAATCTTGGTGATACTGTGTTTAAGTTTGTAAGAATGTGATACTCTCTAAGAAATTTACAAGCCTAAGTAGAGATTATTTTATATGGCTTACTATTTCTTTAAGCCATATGTCAATACAAGGACTTTCCAAAAAAAATGATCATGTTACTTGATACTGATGCCCTTGCTGAGTGGAAAGGAATGGCCTTCTACTTCCTTTGGTTATAGCAAGGGTCAACACACTGTGGCTCCTGAGTGAAGGCTGGCCTGTTTTATAAATAAATTTTATCGGAACACAGCCATGCCCATTAATTTACATAGTGTCGTTGGCTACTTTCCTGCCCCAAAGATAGAGTGGGCAGGACAGAAAAGCCTGAAAAGCCCGAAATATTTATGCTTTGGCCCCTTCCAGAAAAGGTTTGCCAACTTCTGGAGATTAGCATTGCGGTAGAGCCTTGGGTCTTCTCTGTTACTAGCTGTGGGTGCTGGGGACAAGTTATTTGACTCCTATAAGCTTTAATTCCCTCATTTATGGAATGGGAGATACTAGGATTATATATTCAAATCAGATAATATATTTAAAACCAGAACAGTCTTTATCCTAGGTCCTACAAATATTGTGGACAGGTCCATGCAAAGCCCTTAGCGCAGTGCCTGGCCTTTAGAAGAAGGACTCAGTAAACATACGGATGTGTAAAATAGTTCATTACTTTTGTTGTTGTTATCTTTGTTATTCTTGTCTTCTCCCATTTTGTGGCCATAGCTTGGGAACCCCATGTGGAGATGCCAGTGTTCTCCTCTCCCACTGCTCTGCCAGATGGCAGCTCTGTTTCCTACAAGGAGACAGAAAACAAGTATTGAAATTTTATGAATGGAGTGATTAGGAGGGAAGTAAGTCAAGGTGTGTGATAAGGTGCGAGGAATGCAAGGATCAGCCAGTTAAGTCAAAACCCAGACAAGCAGGACAGCATATGGAGTGTGAGTTTGGAATCTGAAATGAATGGGTTTGTATTTTTGCCCTACTATACAGGCTGTGTGACCGAATTCAGGAAATCAGTTCACCTTCTTCCTCGTCCTCATCTTTATGAGTAAACACCTCTAGCCTCGAGTGACCCACAGGGATGTGAGGATGAGCTGAACTCCTACATGGAACATGCTTGGCCCATGAGATGTGCTCAGCAAACATTTGTTCTTCATGGAGCTGCTTTATGAAGGCAGGAACAAGGAGACAGCTGGTACTACAGCTGTGGGTGCCTGTATGGGGTACATGCCTTTCAGGACTTTGCTCCCATGTCACCTTTCCCATGGTGCCATTCCTGACCATATTAAAATCTCGACTTCCTCCCCTCCCTGAGCTTCCTCGTCCGTCCTCTTTGCTGATAGATTATTACCCATGTAACATACCCTGGCACACTCTGTGTTTTATTTGCTTATTGGCTGTTTCTTTCCACCCACGTGGGTTCCACAAGGACAGGAATTCTTGTCTCTTTTGTCCACTGCTACGGTCTTGGTGCCTATAATGATGGCAGGACACAGTTGGGGGTTTATTAAATATCTGTCGAATGGAGGAACGGAGCCCAGAAGGCTTTCATGTGGCCAGAGATGCCCCCTGCCCATTAGAGCTGGGATCTGGAGGAGGCTAGCAGAGCAAATGGCAAGCATCCTCGGGAGCTTGAGCAGCCATGGTGGCCTATAATGCGTCAGCATGGCCAGTTGTATTAAATGAGAGACGTTTAGAAGATCTTGATACCTTTAAGTCCAAACATGACTTGTTGTGGAAGGGGAAGAGGATTTGGGGTTTTATTATTTAGTGTTAGTGACTCTATGTTTTAGCATGTTCAAGGCTTTTGCACTGTGCTTATGGCCACCGAATCCAGCCTCCTTAGCTTGAAATGAGTAAGTGGGCGGCTGACTCCCTTTGTTTGACCTAATAGTGAACCCTCAGAATTTAGGGAGCTGGACCAACCGACTTATGGGATTTGAAGTATGGAATTGGAGCTCGAACTTCAACTAATTCCCAGCATCTCTGTATCAGAAACCTCAAATGCTTCTCTTGTTTTTCTACCCTTGATACCGTAGACATTTAGAAGAGTGAACAGAAGTGGAGAGATTTTTTAAAGGAGATATGTTTAGAAATGAGACTATTTAAGTGTTTTCCTTGACAAAACCAACCTGTCCCAGTAGGCTGGAGTTCTTTGAAGGCAGGACCTGTGTTTTATGCATAATTGCATTCTTAGTGCCCAGGATATTGCCAGCCCCTATAGAGGGAGAATGAATAAATAATTGAACAAGTGAATGGGCTATCTTAATTTTGGGCTTCTTATGGCATTAATATTTAACTGATGTAGGATTTCTTTACACAAGCTTGCTTCATTTTAAAAATATTCCATAATAATTTGTAGTCTATTTTCTTTGGAAAGAAGTGGGTCTTAAAACTGAAATGCACATGGCAATGATAGATAACAAATTAAATGTTTGTGATTTTCTGTGGCCAGTCGACTGCATAAATTATGTGAGGGACCACATTCCAATCAAAGGTTTTTAGAGACGAGCTATCAACGTGCCACTCAGATAACAGGACAGATTCTTCATGTCTACATAGAAAGCTGAGCCAGAGTCAGCAAGAAAGTCCTGTCAGTGCGGTTTGTCTGTGATGGGCTCCAAGCTGCAGTGCTCTGGAGTTGGCCTGTGGATAGATGATTTTCCTTCAGCAGACGGACTTGGACCAGAGTGGGAACTTACCGGGGAGCGCACATCCCTAGGGACAGAATGCCGGGGCTCCTTGGTGACCAGCATCCCTCCCAGGACCTGATAGGGAGCTCTTGGGGACTGTTTCTCACAAAGCCATGACATCACCTGTGGCGACACAGTCTAGATCTAAACTAGTGGTGCCAGTATGGTTATACAATGTCAGTGACATAAGGGTCTAGTCACGACCCAAGAACATACAAAAGGGACATCTCGTGATGCTGCTGAAATCCTGGGCAGTTGGAGCCTAAACGATGAACCTGTTACTCTCCACACTAATGCCAGAGAGCTGGCAATGCGCTGGAAGAGTGATTAGAGAACCAACTTGTAAATACTGTGTAAGCCAGGGGAGTTTATATTTGTTTCTCTGTTACGGGACAAGTTTTATTTGAAAGTTAGTTCTACGGGATCGAATTCTCGGGGGGACTCCATGGCACCCCCAAAGTAATCCTGCCTCTCCCGCTCTATTTCCCAGCATGGGCTACTGCATCCTTTTTGTGCACGGATTGAGGAAGCTCTGCGCAGGGCTGAATCGTTGGGGGGCCACCACCCTGACCGTGTGTACTGCGCTTTTGCTGCTGCTTTTCTCCTGGAAAACTGTGAAGCAGAATGAAATTTGGCTGTCAAGAGAGTCCCTGTTCAGGTACGATTCAATGGAGAAAAGCAAATCTCTTCCCATGTATTTCTTTGCTTATGTATTTGTTTCCAAACAAATGAGTTAACATGGGTCTGACAATAATCATTAACCTGCAGGGGTTTTTTTAGTAAAGTTTTAAGTGGAAGATGTAATTTTATTTTGGGTTTTAGCTTTAGTTTTTAAAATGGTAATCTATAAAGTTTAATGTGAGCTCATTCTAAGTGAATTTATGAAAATAAGGCTCATGGGAAGGTTTCTGGGTCTGTGAAACCGTCGTAATGATGAGCTGGGCTGTAAAATCAGCTATAAACAAAATGAAATGATAAACCTAATTTCCTGATGCAGACAAGTCAATGAGAAAGGTGAGCATACAGCAGGAAGGAAGAGAAACGCAGGACATTTTCTTTAGACTCTTCCAGGACATTAAGTTGTGATCTGTGATCCAGTTGCTTTATTCTGAGCATTAATTGTGAACAAAGAAATGGAAGACTTTTTTCATCTCCCGGTAGGTTTTGATGTGCTACAGAAGCTGTTTCTGAATATAACAAGGTCACCTGGAAGCCCTAAACTTGTTGTAAAGTATAAACATTCTTTGGGACTTTTGCTCATTGTGCTGTGTTTTCTGGAGCTCAGGCCGCCTTGCTAATGCCATAGCTCTGGTGAGGACCTTCACCTGGGCTCCCTGGCACTGCCCCACCAGGATCCCAACAGTATTTTTCCGGGTTTCCAGGGATTCCCAGTCTGTGCCCTCTTCCAAGTTCTGTTCTCACTTATGACCCAGTTCCCCGGTTTAGTCACTGCTCAGCTGATACCCAATACTTACACTCTGGGGGCAAACAACGGAGACAGAGTTGGGATCACTTGAAAACAAAGAGGAACTATTGGAAGACTAGAGGAAGGTGCACAGAATTAAAGGGCCAGTAAAGAAGTTGGCACGGAGCAGACAGGAAACAGGCATCGGGATAGTCTGTCTTGAGAGCACTCAAGTACCTGCCCAGGAAAAAATAGGTAAACTTATACCAGGTTTATTTTATCTTCACAACAAAGCGCTGGGGAAATTAAGTCCTTTGGCGGAGCTTTGAGCTGTCTAGGTCATATGCCTGTCCTTTGTGTCCAGCAGGGCCCTGAAAGGAATGATTGGCCAAAGAAGCCCCTCTGACTTCCAGGGAGTTAGGGCAGGCCAAGCACCTTGGGGTTCCACTGAGACTTAACAGAGTGTGCCAAGACGAATTCCCCACAGGAAATCCAAGTACCGCAGGTGGGGCCCAGACTCTGGCTGCCAAGAATGAATGAAAGAACAAGTGAAGGAATGAACAAATAAGACAGATGTTCACTGCATTCCTCTGTCTTAAAACAATATATTTGATTTTGCTACTTGGCAATTTAACTTTTTAAAAAATATTTTTAATTAATAAATTAATTAATTTTAAGAATTTTATTTATTTATTTGACAGCAAGAGACAGCTAGAGAAGGAGCACAAGCATGGGGGAGCTGGAGAGGGAGAAGCAGGCTGAGCAAGGAGCCCGACACAGGGCTCGATTTCAGGACACTAGGATCATGACCTGAGCCGAGGGCAGATGCTTCACGACTGAGCCACCTAGGTGCCCCTTTTTTCTTAATAGAAGAAATTTAGTTTGGTATGCATGCCTTTTTTTTTTTTTTATCCCCAGTATTTTATTTATTTATTTGAGAGAGAATGTCCGCATCCATGAGCAGGGGGAGAGGGAGAAGCAGACTCCCCGCTGAGCAGGGAGCCTGGTGTGGGGCTCCATCCCAGGACCCTGGAATCATGACCTGAGTGGGAAGCAGCTGCTTAACCCACTGAGCCACCCAGACGCCCCTGGCATACATGTCTTCTTAGCTTATTTGTTATTGCTATGTCATTGTCATGGTCATCATTACCACAGTGGGTACTGTAGAGACCTATTGATTTTTTATGAATATTCTTCACCCTTAAGGTCCCAGATTCTGTTCAGTCTCTGTCACATCCTTTTACTTTCAAGGCAGTTCTCCCAGAGCACAATGGACTTGTTCCTTCTTGCTCCCCATGCTGAGGGCATTCTGTACACACAGGGGCATGGAAGTTCAGTAATACAACTTCCCCTTAGTCTCTGTTGGCTTGATTTTTTTTCTTTTGCTTTCATCAGTCAGTGCTTTTATGGGGGACCTTAAAATGGTTCTGCCTGTGTTAAACCCTTTGCTTGAATCAAGGTACTAACAGAAGTTGTGTCTTGTAATGATGTTTACTGCTTAATCAGAGCAACTTTGGCAAGCAGCGGTTTATTTCAAGGATAACAAGTTCATGTTCAAACCCTTGAAGGCTGATGCCAGCAGTTTAAAAACAGAAAAACAAAAAGCTCATTGACCTTGCATCCAGAGGCTTCTGTTGTTTTAGGTGGAAGTATGTAGTAAGTGACAGCTGATTACTAAAACACAACCATTCCACACATGTGCTTGAAGAGGTTTTGTGCCCTAGGAGGCTTTTGGTGATCAAATGGAATTTTGTATAATGTGCAAATCAAAGCTTTTGATAGTTTTTAGAAAACTTTGCCCATTACAATTTATGTATGTCCCAAGAAAAGTTTTAAGAGTGTGAGACTTTAAGAATATTTTTTCTTCTCTAAGACCAGATGTTGGTATGGATTCATCTGTGCTGAGTCATGCTCGAATCAGTTGAAGTGAATATTTACCAAGAATCTTGGAAGGAAGATAGAGTTACTGGTCGAGTGTGGGGGCTGGAGTTAGACTTTCTGGCTCCTCTCCAAGTACCACCATTTCATAGCTGTGTGACCTTGGGCAAGATACTTAGCCATTCCATGCCTTAGTTTATTTTAAACTTAGAAGAAGAAGAAGAATCAAGTTTATATTTTGGTTGTAGTGTAAGAATAAACGAATATGTGAAATATGCCTAAGGCAATACTATAAACAATATGTTGGGTTTTTAGATAGTTGCTGTGCACTGTGTTCTAGGGCATGAGAGAGAGATGGTGGGGGCATGGGGGGGTGCAGAGAGATTATCTGTAGAGGAGCTAAAAGTCCTCGTGGAGGTCAGACACATAAACACACTTAAACGTAATGTAGCAGGTGGTAGACAAGGCAGCAGGACACTCTAAGTACAAGCAGCCTGCTAAGAACAGCCCAACCCTTCAAAAACTGTTCTCTTACAGACCTGAGCTGAAGAGAGAAAGATGAAAACAACCGAAATTCGGCACAGTGATCAAAACCAAGAACTGGCTGATTTGAGTACAAAAAATGTGTTAAAGTTCTAGAGGTGGTGATGCCCCTGGCAGAGGGCTAGCCTTCGACTTCTCTGTTGTAAGCAATGAACTCATTGACCGTTCCTTGGACATAGGGTCTCAGTCAGGCCTCTCTTATTACACAGAGTGGTTTTGCTTGGCAATACTGTGAAGTTTTACAGAGAGTATCTTAGGACAGACCTTTGTGTTGGAGAAAGTCCAAATTTCATTCAAGTCCCAGCCTTTCCAGCTGACACATCCTTTTACAAAAAAGATACCACTGTGTGATGTATTTTTAGGAGGTACAGATGCAAGGCCCCCTCACAGCCTTGAGGTTCCAAGGCAAGGGCCTTACACACAACAGCGTAAGAAGCCAGCACAGAAGAGAGTAACTGGTCCAAGCTGAGCTAGCTGTGACGAGGAGGAGCCCGGCTTTGAACCCAAATTTGATATAAAAAAATACATAAGTTTTGCTGTGCTTATTTTTTACTTTATGTTTTCTAACTAAAACTAAGCCAGGTATAAAAAAGAGAGCGGGGGAGAGAGCGAGAGGGAGGAGTTGGTTCATAATCATAGCTACCAGCTGTATTTTCTTTAATTCTTTTTAACAAGGAACTGTTCTGATACCCTAACCTAGGAAGAGGGTCACTGTGCAGCTTTAGCTGGGTCTGGTAATGAATTTTGCCTTTGTTTAGAGTAAATGATACTGTAATAACACATTTTGGTAAAATCCCCTCCACGCCCCAGATCTTTGAAATACCTGAAAAGACAGAGACCACATTTTTCTTTTATTTGCATCTAGTTCAAGGTCTCTCTGAATCCCATTCATGAACTATTTAAGCAATCCATGGACCATCAATTAAGAATTTCTGGCCTAGATTATTCTCCATCTCTATAGGGAACACATTTCTGTTTCCTCCTTTCTGAATTGCCAAGCCAGAGAGATCAGCCAGCCTCCCAGGGCAGAGAATATATATTGAGGATTGACAAATTCTTTTGTAGAGGAGTGGGTGGTAAATATTTTAGTCTTTGTGGGCCATATAGTGTCTTTTGCAACGACTCAACTCTGCTGTTGTCTCAGGAACGATGCCAAAGATAATAGGTAAACACATTGGCGCGTCTGTGGCCCACAGGCTGTAGTTTGCTTACCAATGAGATAAACACTGTGATAATAAAATTGTAGTGTTTCTATGCCCTGTGGTACCTTTCTGGCTTAGCTTCACATGTTGATCAGCTTCAGGAATAGTCCTGACCACATATTGGCCTTGGTTGAAATCTGTGCTCCGCTACTTTCTCAGTCTATAACTTTAGAGAATGGTCTTCATCTCTCTGAACCTCAGTGTTTTCATCTGTAGTGTGGGAGGTACGATAATTCTACCCAACCTGTAGTTATTGAAGGGATGCAAGGATATGATCCAGGGAAGTGGGTGCATAGCCCAGAACTGGATTCCAACTGAGCATCCCGTCCGATGAGTACTGGACTTTTGGAGTGTGGTGTTGTGCAACCTCAGGTCACAGCAGGGTCAGCACTGAAGAGAATCACAAATCCTTCTTACTTTCCTTTCCTGTTAACCTCTGGCTGAATACTGCTCATTATTATTATTTTTTCTAATGTTTGTTTTCTCATCGGGAATTTGGGGATAGTTCTCGTGACCTATTGTCCAGGATGCCAACAAAACAAATTGGTGTTCTATAAACTTGGAGATATACCTGAGAGAAGTGGCTTTTTATTTCTATTTGTTTCAGTCATTTCTGTTCTTTTCCAAATGTTGTACAAATGAGAGGTCCGAGGGAGAAATGTGATGTATATGAATGAATATCCTGAGTTGAAAGGAGATTTTTCTTTGAAGTCATCATTGGGATTATGAATAGGGATCGAGCTCCAACCGCATACTTAATGAATACTACGTGTTTTTGTAAAGTAAATACTGAAGCTGCTTGTTTCCACTGAAACAATTGGGGCTACAGAATCATAGCATCTGTAGAGCAAATGAAGGATACTGGCTCTGGAAGCAGGAGCAGCCTGGCCAGTTACAGCTACGTGGAAAGTTTTGCCTTTGGCCAGTTGTTTATTTCCCCTTTTCTACAAACTACTCATTGTAAAATGAGAGACTGGAAAAACATAGCAGAAAAATATCACAGAGAGAACATAAAGGTCAAAAACAACAATGGAAAAAGCAGTGTGTTCTTTGGATTCCAGTTACTCCACCCACATCTGCTTGCCTGTTATGAATATCATTACTTCCTCTGGCCATCACTGAACAATGCCCCAATCTTCGCAAGGACCATGTTTCCACAGACCTAATTGTCTGTTCCTCTAGCAATACATAAATTAGAGTCACCATGCTAATCACACACGGGGAGGGATCAATTCCAATATGCCAGTTATGTCCACGCCAAAATCAAAGTTACTTTTAAAATCGGCCCATTGCCATGCACTACTTATTTCTGCCTAGAAAAATTAAGAAATTTTCCTGGATAGAAACTGGAATGTTTTTAAAGCCAGTTAGCACTCTGCCCCAGATTCTGCCCCTGTGACTAAATTCACTTTGCGTAATATCCATTTTATTTATTTATTTTTTATTTATTTATTTGAGAGAGAGAGAAAGAGAGAGCATGAGAGGGGAGAAGGTCAGAGGGAAAAGCAGACTCCCCGTGGAGCTGGGAGCCTGATGCGGGACTCAATCCCAGGACTCCAGGATCATGACCTGAGCTGAAGACAGTTGCTTAACCAACTGAGCCACCCAGGCACCCCGTAATATCCATTTTAAATATTCCATTAAAATCCTGGCTCTCTGTTGCACCTGAAGGGTCTCACCATAGAATGATTGAGGGATACCAGTGTTTCACTGGAGCACCCAAATGTCAGCATTTGTCTGTCTTTTGTCTTGGGTGGATCAGTTTCTACTTAGACGATTCCTCCAGTCTCCTTCCTGGGGCTCCAGTCCTGGCTGCCAATGTTCAGAGAGCTTAATAAGAGGGGAAACTGAGATCCCAATGTTCAGAATACAGATCTTCAAATAATATACCTTTGAGGTACCACCCCTTCCCTTGGCAGTTGACCTGTTGTTCCCGGGTGCAGGATTTCTCTAGCTGAGCTCTTCCAGAGAGTGAAACTCCCGCCTTCTGCTGGCATGGGGAAAGAATGAAAAAAGCCACTTGGGTATACAGGGTAAGGATGGCGATCTGTGCTTTAACTGCTCCTGATACAGATTTAGTCCTTGTTCAGCCACACCTCCGCCCCCAAGAAATCCTAGCCACCTGCCCTGCGGGGACTGAAGCAGCCTACGTAAGTCTGGAGTTTGCTGCCTTCAGATGATGATGTCTTCTGGTTGGTCTTTAGCCTCTTGCACTCTCTGTAAGTTCTGTCCTTTGGAGAGTTCCTCCAACCAGGGGGTTTTAAGTTGGGACTGTCTTTGCTGGTCATAAGGAACCTCTTATTTTAGGGAAAGTTCAACAAAGATCACAAAGCCCTTACATATTTCCCCGACAGATCTTTGACACTTTGTATAAAACTCTTCTATTAATCTTACCTTTAAATTAAAAACTAAATGAAAGTATGTTACCTGGGAGAAGGAATGTAGAGCATTAGAGTTGCCCCAAAACTAGGTTGTCCTGCTTTTCTCCTTGCTCTCTCTCATCAGCTGTCCCCCTCCCACATTTCATCCATGCACAGTCTGGGAGTTTTCTTTCCAGGTGGGCCTCCATCATTCCCCTGCCACCACCTCCCTGTGTGTTGAGGGAGTGAGGGACTCTAGGACCAATCTAGAATCCTCTAGAATTCCACCTCTGACATTGACCAGCTGTATAATCTTGTGCAGGTTAAATGTGTGGTTGCTAGTTACAAACGAGAAACAGATCCCCTCCTGCCCCCACCTGCCCCTGGAATCATCTTCAAAGCTTCACTGTTACCCTGTAGGGATTCCCCAGGCATTTCCTTATGACTGCCCAAGCAAACTAACACAGTGGCTTTGGAAGCAGGGTTTCTCTCTTTTTGAACAAAATCTCACTCCCTTACCTGCAACTTGTAAAATAATTATACTTGCATTTATTTATTTATTTTTTAAAATTAGCCCAGGTTTGGGTACATGGAAAATGTTAATTTCCAATAGAAGTTAATAGGGAGGCCAGTCTGCAGTCATCCCTCTTATCATGATTTATTTTTGCAGACACTCTTAATTTTTGTTTTAAGGAAGGTTGTAAGTGAGCAAAAGGAGCAAGGAAGGAAAACACTGAATGAATCTGAGCATGCAGGTTTATTCTGCAGAGAATTATCCATTACCCTGAGCCACCGTCTCTGCTTCCTATCCAGTTAGCATGTTAGTTTCGTTGTGCCCACCACCCATTGCCTTCATTATTTTCCATAGAAGCATGTTTAGTAAGTCATATATTTCATGAATTCTGAAAAACCCGATTTAGATGGTTGTAACAGACATTCAAATGTGGGCTCATGAAACTGAGTAAAATATGAAAGAAACCAATGATGTTCCTAAACACAGTTCTTTGTTGCTCTTTCTTCTTTTCTTTAAATGTGTTAATTGTAGGTCTGGAGTTCAGACTCTGCCTCACAATGCCAAGGTTCACTACAACTATGCCAATTTCCTGAAGGACCAGGGTCGGAACCGGGAAGCCATCTACCACTACAGAACAGCCCTCAGGTAAGCCCCACAAAATTGTCTACCACTCTGTTTCTCAGGCCCTTGTTCATTCACTCGCCCACCCAGTGTGCACTGTGGGGGTGGACAGTGGATATCCCCTTCGGGGTGGTAAGTATTCCGGACTCTCCATTTTGGCTCAGTGTTCAAGTCTGTTGTGAATGTAGTAATTCTGCCTCATTTCTGATTCTTGGTGTTCCTGCAGAAGTTTCCATTGGTACTCACTACTCAATGAAGTGACAGTCACACACACATGGAGGCAAACAAGAGTTAGTTGTCAAAAATACACTCCTGGATTCTCTGAGCGTGTATTCCAATGAATTCTTCCCACTTTAGGCTTCTCATCATCAGAAAGAATTTATATGAAGGCATCTGAGTATAGAAATGAAATACCCTGATAATTGTATTAAATTGAAAGAAAACTACAAGATACTTGATTACCATATTGGGAATATGTTAATAAGGTGTGTGTGTGTGTGTGTGTGTGTGTGTGTGTGTGTGTGTGTATGTATGTACACAAATATGTAAGTGTATGTGCATGTATATATGAACAGCCCTGACACTCTTCTTACACTCCTCTACTTGTATTCATTTGGAAGAGACTGTACAAAACGTAGCTTTAAGTTGTCACTTTAAGAGAAACCACAAATTCAAGCCTGCATTACCAACGGCAGACCACTCTTAAGTACTCAAAATGGCAACTCTTACTTTCAAGATGATCTTATCTAAAAGATCCCACATGATGAATGTCTTTAGTCTGTACCATGAGGGCACATGAGAACTATACATAGCCTCAGAGTCTCCAAATATGGGCAAAACAAAGAAACATGAGTCTTCTCTTTTTTTGTACAATGAGGCTCACCGAAGCCTTTGAAAGAGTTTTCCATGCCCCTCCAGACTGGCCCACATTTGGCTGAATTTTCTGATACAGTTCTGCTTTGAGACATGCTTCAAGTGTGTATACAACACATCTACATTTCCCTGAAGCACGTTCGAGGATTATCTCAAATCTTAGTTTGAAATCATCATTCTTAAAGTAACCGGCCAGATTTTTAAAATTATCCTTTTGAACAATGTTCTTACATAAATATATTGTTCATAAGTCAAATTCTTTTAGACTTTATACTCTCATTTAATACTCAGTATGGCAAAAATTTTAAGCTGTGCTCATCAAGTTCACTATCAAATACTTTTCCAAAGATACAAAAAAATGCAAGCTCCAGAGGAAAATTGTCACGAAACTTTTTATTGAGGAAAAGAAGCTTTTATTAAGGAATAGAAGATCATTTTTAAGGATTAATGAAGAATTATGTTCTTTCCCTGGAAGCCAGTTTACCCAACTCTTTACAGTACTTAACTCTAGTTGGTAAGATTAAGATTTGATTTTTTTCTGTATATTTTATTTTGTGCTCCAAATGTTCTACAAGTGAACATGCATTATTTTTTCAATGAAGTGATATAATTTTTAAAGAGGCATATATTCCTTCAAGGGTACAAATAAAGTATGTTTTGGCCTAATAATTAATTAATGTTTCAGGGTTTTAGGTTGCATTCTTGAAGAGAAGAGAGCAGTAAATTTGCCCAAAAAATAGTGGTTGAAAGGAAGTATTATCAGTGTCCTTTAAAATTTGTTGCATTCTAAAAAACTGTTTTCTGTCAAGTTCAAACAGAAAAAATGCAGACCCTAAGGCACAGCCTGGGGCAAAGATATAAATTATATAAAATTCTTGAGTAGCTGATTTTACAGAATTATAGTAGCTGGTTGGGTACTACTGCTTTTTTCCCATGAAAGAATAAAAATAAATGTTTGCTTCAGCAACTGTGCTTGTGGAAGAAACATGTCCCTTGAGAAGTGGGGAAAAAACAATTAAAGCTATAAATACCCTGCATAGTAATTAGTGAAATATTTCTTCCTCTCAGACCAGGCTCAAAATGCTTCTAATTTAAGTAGCATCATTTCTGTGTGGATACCTCAGTGGTGAATTTTCAATGGGTGTGGGTGTTTTGTTTTGCTTTTTTAATTTAAATAAATTGTCACTCCTTGTGTTAGAGAGAAAGGGAAAATACCAGGACTATTCATCATTTTGATGATTATTCATCCTTTTTTAAATTGCCCTTTTTTAAAAATTAAATTAAATTTTTTAGAGAGAGAGCATGCACGTAAGCGGTGGAAGGGGAGGGACAGAGAAAGAGTGAGAGAGAATCTTAGGCAGATTCCATGCTCAGTGCAAAGCCCAACATGGGGCTCGATCTCACACCATGACCTGAGCTGAAATCAAGAGTCGGATGCTAAACCAACTGAGCCACCCAGGCATTGCCCTTATTTTGGTATTGCTCTTTCTTTGCTCAAGTTGATGAGACAGGGACTCTCCCCCCTCCCAACTACCTCATCCTTATTTCAGCTTCAGTATATTTGATATTTTCCATATTTGCACACAGCCAGAAAGAGAATGATTAGGGAAATGCAGGGCTAACGGTGTTATTATTTGAAATCAGTCCCCACAATTATCCATTTCTGTTGTAATGACTGTGTAGATCCCAAAGGCAATGATGGAATTAGTCATTAGGGTTGTGTCTATACCAGTATCATTTTGGCTGACTTATAATTCTAGAAATAATTCTACATTAAATTGGTAATTATATATGGCATGAATATTCTGCTTCTTTTAAACCTTATTGTATGTTTTTTTAAAGATTTATTTATTTATTTCAGAGAGAGAGTGAGAGAGCAGGATGGGGGAGGAGCAGAGGCACAGGGAGAGAGAGAATGCTGGAGCAGACTCCCTGCCGAGCAGGGAGCCCAATGTGGGGCTCAATCCCAAGACCCTGAGATCACTACCTGAGCCAAAATCAAGAGCTGGCCACTTAACTAACTGAGCCACCCAGGCACCACAACTTTATGCTATTTTTATATATATACATAAATGTATGTATATATCCCCTCATGTTTATTTCAGCATTATTTACAATAGCCAACGTACAGAATGTGCTAATTTTTTTTACTTTTTATTTATTTATTTAAAGTTTTTTCCTTTTAGATCTTTTCCATTTTTTTTAATTATTATGTTATGTTAGTCATCATACAGTACATCATTAGTTTTTGATGTAGTGTTCTAAGATTAATTGTTTGCATATAACACCTAGTGCTCCAAGCAATCCATGCCCTCCTTAATACCCATCACCAGGCTCACTCATTCCCTTCCCTACCTCCTCTCTAAAACCTTCAGTTTGTTTCCTGGAGTCCATAGTCTCTCATGGTTCCTCCCCCGCTTCGATTTCCCCCGCTTCATTTTTCCCTTCCTTCTCTTACTGTCCTCCATGCTATTTCTTATGTTCCACAAATAAGGGAAACCATATGATAATTTTCTCTGCTTGACTTTTTTTACTTATCATAATCTCCTCCAGTTCCAACCATGTTGATGCAAAAGTTGAGTATTTATCCTTTCTGATGGTTGAGTCCATTGTATATATATGGACCATATCTTCTTTATCCATTCGTCTACAACCTTGTTCTGTTTTTTAAACAAAATGGAAGTACTACCAAGTTCTCCTACCTTTCAGTGAAGCTCATTTATTCTATTTCTGTAGTGCAAGGGAAATCTTCCCTGGAAAATGCTGCAGCTGAGGTTACAGATTCAGATTAAGACCCAAATCAGCAAAGGAAAATGGCAGAACTCTTTTTTTTAAATCCTTAATGAACACAAGTGTTAGCTTTGCTTTGCTCAGAGGGGAGCTGTGATGTTTATACCTGTTCCAGATTCTATAAAGTTTGGGATTCCGTATGGTTCAGAATCAGAACACCACTGGTGGTTCTGCCATATGCCTCCAAAGCTTTCTGGCCATTGTTTAGAACCTGGAAAAGTTTCTACCATTCCACTTCATATGAGTGGAGTAGAAAGTTCAGAGATGACCCAATATCTCAGCTCTTCCTGCACAAAAATGCCCATGAAATAACTCATCCAGTAAGCCCAAAGGGAGAGAGAGATCATGGTTCAGACTGAATAATATGCAGCAGATACTGAATGTGTACTTGGCCAGTGGTTTGTTGATCAGCTTAAATAGTCACTTGAAAGGATAGAATCATAAAGCAAATCATGCACACTCTTTAATGATTTATTACACCCTAAAATTTCCCATGTACATCCACTCACGAATCTTCAAATGTCAAACCAAGCTTTTTTCTTTGGGCAAGAGTCCAATGATTATAATCTGCAAAAATCACATCCATAAGTCATTTCTCTGATGATCAGGTTTTGATACTTTCAAGTGGAATAAAAACTGTAATGACTGTGAGATTTTTCTGATTTTTCTCCTATAGCTTTTTTTATAGATACTCCACATCTAATCAACAGCAATTTCTTGAGCAAATTCCCTTCTTTGAGTATTTCCAGAGTGTTTACATAGTATTCATAGAAATTACAACACTGTTTTTCACATTTATATTTTATCAGTTTGCAAGATATTTCATTACATGGTACAATTGCAATAAAAACCACAACTGCAACAAATTTGTTAACAAACACAACTGTCTTTTAGACATACAATTTAATTTACAGGATCAAAAAGGCCCAGGCTTATAGAGAAAGTTTATTAAGTTGTGGGTATCCACTAATATGTTTTACAGAGAATAGAGAACATTTGGAAATCTGACAACATAGTGAAGAGACTGTTTTAAAAGAGATTTCACTAGAGGTGCTCAAGTCATGGACATTGTTTCTCATCTTATATTTAAATCCCCTGCATGACTCAGTTACTGGTTGGTTAAAATGGGCTGGTCATCAAGAACCCTGCACCTGGGAATGAATACAGTTCACTTTGTCCTGGGGGGTCAGGAAGGTCTCCCTATTGTCAGCAGCAAATTATCTCATGTTCCACAGAGCATTTGTTCACTTAGATGCCTTCTTCCTCCCAACCCACTATAATAAGGACCCCATACCCAGATCTACTATTGTGTCCTGGTTGATTGGATATCAGCCCTGTGCAAGATTCTTTCCTAATACAAG